AAGAGAGAAAGAAGAAGATTCTAGAGTGGGAGTATTTAGAAGGACACAAGGACCTCTACAAGGACGTCATGATGGACAATCAGCCGCCCCTCACATCACCGGGTAAGAGGAGAATTTATTGGAAAGGAGAGAGCAGTACAGAGGATCCACCTAGATCCCCCATCATCTGATAAACACATAGAAACAATGGATTCAGTCAGTGTGTGTGTTTCTTACAGATGGATCCAATCATGGGAACCCACCAGAGAGATGTCCCTGTCCTCTGTATTCCCGGGATTCCACACAGGAAGGTCACACCATCCCTCACCATCATCGGGTAGATGATGAAGAATTATTGGTAGTTCTGATTTATACACAGTGAGTTTGTTACAATGAATGTTTTTATGATATATTCAGAGTGGAATCCTCGGGGATGATAGTATTGATGTTAAAGAAGAGTATAAAGAGGAAGATGAGGAGTATGGAGTGACGGAGGAGTTTTCAGAAGGACACAAGGATATGATGGAGCCACCTAATACCAGGAACCCACCAGGGGGATGTCCCTGTCCTCTGTATTCCTGGGATTCCACACAGGAAGGTCACACCATCCCTTACCATCATCAGGTAGGTAATTATTAATATTTGGTACTGTTCTGTTCAAAAGTCTCCCTCCCCGGGCAATCACTGATAGTATCATTAGGATCTGTACATTATCTGCATTGTTACCATTGATGTCATTTTATTATATATATTCAGAGTGGAAACCTGAGAGATTGTAAAGTTGAGGTCAAAGAAGAGATAAAAGAGGAGGAGGATGAGGATGGGGTGATGGAGGAGTCAGAGATTCCCAAACATCTGTACCAGGACACCATGGTGGAGACATCAAGTTACAGAAACCCACCAGAGAGATGTCCCCGTCCTCTGTATTCCGGAGATTCCACACAGGAAGGTCACACCATCCCTCACCATCATCAGGTAGGTAATTATTAATATTTGGTACTGTTCTGTTCAAAAAGTCTCCCTCCCCGGGCAGAAATGGTGACATTTTGGCATTGATATAGAAAATCTGATTGATCCTGCCAAAAAAACTGTCTTTTATTTAAGGATAGTGATCACATGAAGCCATTTATTATCAAATAGTTGTTTGGCTCATTTATAAATCCTAATGATAACAGAAATCCCCCAAATGGCCTGGATCAGAAGTCTCCGCCCCCCGGATCAGAAGTCTCCACCCCGGGATCAGAAGTTTCGCTCCCTTGGAATGTTTGGCCTTGGTACAGACACACAGGGGATAATGGCAATTAAGGGTTAATGTCCCACATCTGTGGCTTTTTAAATTGCAATCAGTGTCAGTGTATAAATAGTCGGTGAGTTTGTTAGCGCTCACATGGATGCACTGAGCAGGCTAGATACTGAGCCATGGGGAGCAGAAAAGAACTGTCAAAAGACCTGCATAACAAGGTAAGGGAACTTTATAGTGAACTCGGTGTAGTAATTTCCCCCTGAGGTCATCACAGAGGACAAGGGGGCGCTCTTTACGTCTGGAGGAAAAGAAATGTAATCTCCAAACACGGAAAGGTTTCTTCACAGTAAGAGCTGTAAGAATGTGGACTAGACTCCCTCAAGAGTTGGTTGTGGCCAGCTCAGTGGATTGCTGTAGGAAAGTCCTGGATTCTTTCTTGGATACACAGAATATAACTGGATATAACATTTATAGGGAAAGTTGATCCAGGGAATATCCGATTGCCTCTCGGGGGATCAGGAAGGAATTTTTCCCCTGCAGGAGCAAATTGGATCGTGCTTGCTGGGATTTTATTTTGCCCCTTCCTCTGGATCAACTGCGGGTATAGGATTATAACTTTTTTTTTAATGGTTGAACTGGATGGACTTTTGCCTTTTTTTTCAGCAAGACTAACTATGTAACTATATGGAAAAGGATATAAAAAGATATCCAAATCTATGAATATGTCGGTCAGTACTGTTCAATCATTTATTAACCCCTTCACGCCGGAGCCTCCCGGCCCTTTAAGGGTTTCAGAAGCCGGGAGGCAGGGCGGGGTTTAGGGTCATGTGACCGCCGTGATGCAAAGTCACGGCGGGTCACATGATCGGGAAAGGTCCCGATCGAAAGAGGAGATCGGGACCTTTCTGTGAGTACCGGACATGTGTGCTGGGAATGCACAGGGCACGCGCTTTCTGCACATATGTCCTTTTTTAATAGAAGGCAAATGTGCGGCCGCTTGGTGTCTAGGCCCAGACGCCGGGGGCCGCACATTTGCGTTTGGCCGATGTGAAGAGGTTAAGAAGTGGAAAACTTCGGGGATCTCTTGATACCAAAGCCAAGGTCAGGTAGACAAAGAAAGATTGCAGCCACAACTGCCAGAAGAATTGTTCGGAATACAAAGAAAACCCCCCACAGGTGACCTCAGGAGAAATCCAGGCTGCTCTGGAAAAAGACAGTGTGGTTGTTTCAAAGAGCACAATACAACAATGCTTGAACAAAAATGCACTGCATGGTGGAGTTGCCAGAAAGAAGCCTTTACTGCACCAATGCCACAAAAAAAAAGCCCGGTTACAACATGCCCAACAACACCTTGATGCCTCACAGCTTCTGGCACACTGTAATTTGGAGTGACAAGACCAACATAGAGCTTTATCGACACAGCCATAAGCTCTATGTCTGGAAAGGGATCAACAAGGCCTACGGCAACAAGAATAGCATCCCCCACTGTTGAGCATGGTGGTGACTTACTGATGTTTTGAGATGTGTGAGCTCTAAAGACACGGGGAATCTTGCTAAAACAGATGGCAAGATGAATGCAGCGTGTTATCAGAAAATACTGGCAGACAATTGGTATTTTTCTGCAGGAAAGCTGCGCATGGGATGCTCTTGGACTTTCCAGCAGGACAATGGCCCTCAGCACAAGGCCAAGATGACCCTACAGTGGTTACAGCAGAAAAAGGTGAAGGTTCTGGAGTGGCCATCACAGTCTCCTGACCTTCATATCATCATAAATGGGTCCGGTATTCCATGCAGGAAGATCACACCATCCCTCACCATGATTAGGTAGATGATTGACAATCTCTGGTGGTTACACTTTATACACAGCATGTTTGCTACAATAAATGTTTTGTAATATATTCCAGAGTGGATCCAGTCATGGGAACCCACCAGAGAGATGTCTCCATCCTCTGTATTCCCGGGATTCCACACAGGAAGGTCACACCATCCCTCACCATCATCAGGTAGATGATTAACCATTATTGATAGTTGTGATTTATACACGGCATGTTTGTTACAATGAATGTTTTATGATATATTCAGAGTAGAATCCTCGGGGATTATAATATTGATGTTAAAGAGGAGGATGAGGAGTATGGAGTGATGGAGGAGTTTTCAGAAGGACACAAGGATATGATGGAGCCACCTAATACCAGGAACCCCCCAGAGAGATGTCCTCGTCCTCTGTATTTCCGGGATTCCACACAGGAAGGTCACACCATCCCTCACCATCATCAGGCAGATGGATCCAGTCATGGGAACCCACCAGAGAGATGTTCCCGTCCTCTGGATTCCACACAGGAAGGTCACGCCATCCCTCAGTATTGCAAGGTTGGTGGGACGGAGAATCTAGAACATGGACTCATGGAGACGATGTGCGGATTTTCTATGTGATGTCACAATAATAAATCTTCTATCTTACAGATGATATTTTTCCTTCTCTTGATGTAGAGTGGAGATCCAATCGATATAGAATTTGAGGTGAAATCAGAAGAAGAAGAGGCGTATGTGAGGGATGATCAGCAGTCTATGGAGGAGGATGGAATAACGGGGACATTTATAGAGGAGGACACTCCTACAGAGATGAGCACAGGTGGGTCATGAACACTAAATCCATTCCTCCACCCATACTGCTCACTGATTGGTCCAGAGTAGGGCGGGGGGGGGGTGATATCAGCCTGTAATACCCTGGTCATTTTCCTGAGCTGTGTTCCCCGTCCTGTATTCCTGGATTTCTCTCGGGTAATCTTCCTTCTCTGTGCTGAAGACACAATTTATGTCTCTAGACTGGATTTATGGAGGTTCTGGGGATCAGCCGGCAGCAAAATGTGGATTTTATTATAGGCGATGCTTGGCCTAGAAACCCGGGCCATGAGCCTTGGGTCTTCAGGATCAGTCCAGTCTTCCTCTTGGTTGTTCTCCCCCATCCTCACTTCTGACCTCTGGTGGGGCTCAGCCCTGCTGTTCTTCATGACTAAATCATGGACTAAATCAGGAAGTGCAGTACTTCTTGTGTTGGGAAGATGGCGATGAGTGATAGAGGGGGTGGGGACCCTCGTCCTATAATCCCCTCCTCACTGTCCCTCCTATAAAAGACAGTTCTGGTTGTTTCCTCACTCTGACTAAGGTCCATGAATAAAGAAATGACCTGGTAGAAGATCAGAGGAGCCATTTCCTAGTTCCCTTGAGGGTGGAATTGTAAGCTCCTCAGAGACCAAGCTGCCTGATGTGGGCGGAGTCCTGGTTTGGGGGAACCAATCAGCTCCTGTCTAGTAATCCTCTTTGTATTTTAGTCCATGGCCGGGAGAAGAGGAAAACCTCCGAGGATTGTCTCACTTTGTCTCCAGACTGGAAAGTAGAAGATGAGGACATCACACAGTATAGTCCAGGAGAAAACCCGGCTCCCTCCAATGTCCATCCGGCACCACCCAGTGTAGATGGACCATCAGATTCCTCGTATCCTGAGGAAACCTCAGACTGTGCGGGACCGGGCCGCCCCTCCAACAAGGAAGAGGTTTCCCTGCCCTGAGTGCGGGAAGAGTTTTGTCAAAAAAATCAGGTTTAGGTAGACACCAACTATCTCACAGGGTGGAGAAGACTTATTTCTGTCCTGAGTGCGGGAAGTGTTTCCACTTAAAATCACATCTTAAGGAGCACAAAAGATCTCACACGGGTGAGAAGCGACATCCCTGCTCTGAGTGCGGGAAATGTTTTGTAAAAAATTCACAGCTTGTCAGACATCATATGACTCACACAGGTGAGAAGCCACATTTTTGTCCTGAGTGCGGAAAATGTTTCTCATTGAAGTCACATCTTCATAGACATCAGAGATTGCATACAGGTGAGAAGCCACATTCCTGTCCTGAGTGCGGGAAATGTTTCTCAATGAAGTCACATCTTCATAGACATCAGAGATTGCACACAGGTGAGAAGGCATTCCTGTCCTGAGTGCGGGAAATGTTTCTCAATGAAGTCACATCTTCATAGACATCAAAGATTGCACACAGGTGAAAAGTCACTTTCCTGTCTCACGTGCGGGAAATGTTTTTCACAAAAATCAGAACTTGTCATACATCAGATGTCTCACAAGGGTAAAAAGCCATATTCCTGTCCTGAGTGCGGGAAATTTTTTACAACAAATTCACATCTTTTCAGACACCAGAGAACACACAGGGGGGAGAAGCTGTATTCTTGTTCTGAGTGCGGGAAATGTTTTTCAGAGAAGTACAGTCTTTGCAGACATCAGAGATTGCACACAGAGGAAAAGTCACTTTTCTGTCCTGAGTGCGGAAAATGTTTTTCAGAAAAGACCAGTCTTGATGATCATCAGAGATTGCACACAGGTGAGCCATATTTCTGTGGGGAGTGCGGGAAATGTTTTTCAAATAGATTCAGTTTGCACAGACATAAGAGATTGCACACAGGTGAGAAGCCATATTTCTGTGATGAGTGCGGAAAATGTTTTTCATATAGTTCCAGTTTCCACAGACATAAGAAATTGCACACAGTGGAGAAGCCGCATTCCTGTCATGAGTGTGGAACATGTTTTTCAAATATGTCCAGCCTTGACAGACATCAGAAATTACACAGGGATAAGAAGACACATTCCTGTCTTGAGTGTGGAAAATGTTATGCACGAAAATCAGAACTTGTCAAACATCAGATGACTCACACCGGGGAGAGGCCGCATTCCTGTCCTGAGTGCGAGAAATGTTTTCCAAGGAAGTCCTATCTTTACATACATCAGAGATCTCACATAAGGGAGAAGCCGTATGTCTGTCCTGAGTGCGGGAAATGTTTTAAATGGAAATCTAGTTTTGACAAACATCAGAGATCTCACACGGGAGAGAAGCCACGTTCCTGTCCTGAGTGAGGGAAATGTTCCTCACTGAAGTCCTGTCTTCCTGTACATCAGGGGTCCCACACAACGCTGGAGGTGTATTAGTGCCTTAAGTGCAGGAAATGTCTTCTAGATGAATGTTGCTGGACATCCCAGCTCTCATGTGGGGAAGAAAAATATTTTCTTAGTTTCTGTTATAAAATGTTGCAAATAAATAATCTTTCTTCATAAGATTAGGCCAAAATGGATTCTGCTACATTTCTTTGGTAAAAATAGCAAAAATCGTATATTATTTATTATAGAGTCTATGCAAACTATGGTAAATGTAGGTATTCTCTGAAAGGCATAGTCTTTAGAAAATGTCTTTTTTTTTTTGCCTCAAGGTTTTAGAAATGCAGGAAAGAAACTCTAAATGTATTTTTTGTATGGAGTTACTACATGTGTGATACGTTTTCGAGCCTAGAAGCAAGGAGGGGCCCAGAATCCAAGGAGCACCTTTGGGCTTTCAAGGAGCATATTTTACACATCTAATTTCCTGACTGCCTATACAAACTATGGTAAATATATCTGAAAATCGATCAATCTTGATGTACGGATGGCCGATCTCATTTCTTGAGGCCCAAAAATCCCAGGACAGTACCAAATGACTTCTTCTTAGAAAAATATTTAGTGGGAGGCACGGCAAATTTTTGGAAGTTGTCATTTTTTTGTCACGATTATTTGAAGCATAAAGAAATTAAATACAAATTTGCATTTTTACAGAATGTTGTCATTTTCACAAGTTATTTCTCACACCCGGCATGGGCATACCTATATTTATACTGCAAAACATATTCTGCTCCTCTTCCCGAGTATGGGGATATGACGTGTGAGACGTTTTCAGAGCCTAGAAGCAAGAAGGGGCCAAGAAGCCAAGGAGCACCTTTGGGCTTTCAAGGAGCATATTTTACACATCTAATTTCCTGACTGCCTCTGACAGTTTTGGAGGCCCTGTAGAACAAGGACAGCAGAAACATCCATTTTGGAAAGCAAACACTCCAAGGTATTCTCTGAAAGGCATAGTCTTTAGAAAATGCCATTTTTTTTGCCACAAGGTTTTAGAGAAGTTAAAATTTATTTTTTTTACTCAAATTTATTAATAAGGTATTTCTCACACACAGCAAACGCATACCCCCAAAACACATTCTGCTACTCCTCCCGAGTATGGAGATACCACCTGTGTGAGATGTTTTCAGAGCCTAGAAGCAAGGAGGGGCCCAGAATCCAAGGAACACCCTTGGACTTTCAAGGAACATATTTTACACATCTAATTTCCTGACTGCCTATATAAACTATGGTAAATATATCTGAAAATCAATCAATCCTGATGTACTGACGACCTATCTTATTTCTTGAGGCCCAAAAATCCCAGGACAGTAGCAAATGACCACTTCTTAAAAAAGTATTTAGTGGGAGGCATGGCGAGTTTTTGAAAAATAAAGAAATTAAATAAATTTTACAGAATGTTGTCATTTTCACAAGTTATTTCTCACACATGGCATGGGCATACCTATATATACACTGCAAAACACATTCTGCTCCTCCTCCTAAGTATGGGGATACGACATGTGTGAGACGTTTTCAGAGCCTAGAAGCAAGGAGGGGCCCGGAATCCAAGGTGCACCTTTGGGCTTTCAAGGAGCATATTTTACACATCTAATTTCCTGATTGCCTATGACAGTTTTGGAGGTCCTGGACCACAAGGACAGTAGAAACATCCATTTTGCAAACGCTACAAGGTATTTTCTGAAAGGCATAGTCTTTAGAAAATGTTTTTTTTTTTGCCACAAGGTTTTAGAAATGCAGCAAAGAAAGCTAACATTTATTTTTTTTTACTCAAATTAATAAGGTATTTCTCACACACAGGAAAGGCATACCACCAAAACACATTCTGCTACTCCTCCCGAGTATGGAGATACCACATGTGTGAGACATTTTCAAAGCCTAGAAGCAAGGAGGGGCCCAGAATCCAAGGAGCACCTTTGGACTTTCAAGGAACATATTTTACACATCTAATTTCCTGACTGCCTATGCAAACTATGGTAAATATATCTGAAAATCAATCAATCCTGATGTACTGACGACCTATCTTATTTCTTGAGGCCCAAAAATCCCAGGACAGTACCAAATGACCACTTCTTACAAAAGTATTTAGTGGGAGGCATGGCGAGTTTTTGAAAAATAAGGAAATTGAATAAAAAATTTCTTTTTACAGAATGTTGTCATTTTCACAAGTTGTTTCTCACACATGGCATGGGCATACCTATATTTACACTGCAAAACATATTCTGCTCCTCCTCCCGAGTATGGGAATATGACGTGTGAGACGTTTTCAGAGCCTAGAAGCAAGGAGGGGTCCAGAATTCAAGGAGCACCTTTGGGGTTTCAAGGAGCATATTTTACACATCTAATTTTCTGACTGCCTATGACAGTTTTGGGGGCCCTGTAGCACAAGGACAGCAGAAACATCCATTTTGGAAAGCAAACACTCCAAGGTATTCTCTGAAAGGCATAGTCTTTAGAAAATGTAATTTTTTTTTGCCACAAGGTTTAGAAATGCAGCAAAGAAAGCTAAAATTTATTTTTTTTTACTCAATTAATAAGGTATTTCTCACATACAGCAAAGGTATATCCTCAAAACACATTCTGCTACTCCTCCTGAGTATGGAGATACCACGTGTGAGACGTTTTCAGAGCCTAGAATCCAAGGAGCACCTTTGGGCTTTCAAGGAGCATATTTTACACATCTAATTTCCTGATTGCCTATGACAGTTTTGGAGGCCCTGTAGCACAAGGAAAGCAGAAAGCATCCATTTTGGAAAGCAAACACTCCAAGGTATTCTCTGAAAGGCATAGTCTTTAGAAAATGTCTTTTTTTTTGCCACAAGGTTTTAGAAATGCAGGAAAGAAAATAAAAAAAAGTTTTTACACAAAGTTGTCAATTAATAAGGTATTTTTCACACGCAGCAAAAGCATACCCCCAAAACACATTCTGCTACTCCTCCTGAGTATGGATATACCACATGTGTGAGACTTTTTCACAGACTAGCTACATAGGCCCAAAATCCAAGGAGCACCTTCAGGCTTTCTAGAGGCATAAATTACTCATCTAATTTCCTGACTACCTATCACATTTTTTGGAGGCCCTGGAGCACCAGGACAGTGGAAACACCCACAAAAAATACTACATTAAGGAGAGTAAACGCCCCAAAGTATTTTTTAGAGTTGTTTGAAGACCTCATTTTATTGCCACGTTTTTGGAAAATAGAAAATGAAAATTTTATTTTTTTATGCATATTTGTCAATTTATTAAGGTATTTCTCACACACAGCATGAGTATACTTAGAACTTCACCCCAAAAACACTCTGCTACTCCTGAGTATAGCACATGTCTGGACTGATTATATACCGAACATTGCATCTGGTGTATCTCACAAATCGACCAATTGTATCAAAAGCAATGGACTGCAATGATCGCCTCTGTACGACTGGTCAGGGAATATAGTTTAGCGTAGTATCACCTATAGCAGTCCCTGTTCCTTTAGGTCGAACAAGCCTAGCCTACTGGGACGTGGCAGCCCCCCAGGATAGGTAGGCTCAGAGCAAAACAAAAGCAGGGACAGACATGGCAGGGTGAATATTGGGACAACTTGGGAAGGGTAGAAAGTGAGGGTAGTTCTTGCTTTTGGATTGTCAAGGCAGCCTGGCGGTGGTTGGTCTTTGGAGGAGGAAAGAATTCTGGATATGAATGGTCTGGGACCATCGATGGTATGGGGACCTTGGTACATTCCTGTTAACAAGGGGTTACCTCGGAACAGGTAAAAATGGAGGTCACTGCGGAAAAGGTGGATTGTCTCCGAGCTGGTGGGTTGCAGCTGGGGATAAGTAGGATTGTCCCCGAGCCGGTGGGTTGCGGCTGGGGATAAGTAGGATTGTCTCTGAGCTGGTGGGTTGCAGCTGGGGATAAGTAGGATTGTCCCCAAGCTGGTGGATTGCAGCTGGGGATAAGTAGGATCATCTCCAAGCTGGTGGGTTGCAGCTGGGGATAAGTAGGATCATCTCCGGGTCGGTGGGTTGCGGCTGGGGATAAGTAGGATTGTCTCCAAGCTGGTGGGTTGCAGCTGGGGATAAGTAGGATCATCTCCGGGCTGGTGGGTTGTGGTTCGGGATAAGTAGGATTGTCTCCAGGCCGGTAGGTTGCGGTTGGGGATAAGTAGGATTGTCTCCGAGCCGGTGGGTTGCGGCTGGGGATAAGTAGGATTGTCTCCGAGCCGGTGGGTTGCGGCTGGGGATAAGTAGGATCATTTCCGGGCCGGTGGGTTGTGGCTGGGGATAAGTAGGATTGTCTCCGAGCCAATAGGTTGCGGCTGGAGATAAGTAGGATTGTCTCCGAGACGGTGGGTTGTGGCTGGGGATAAGTAGGATTGTCCCTGAGTCGGTGGGTTGAGGCTGGGGATAAGTAGGATCGTCTCCGAGATGGTGGGTTGTGGCTGGAGATAAGGATTGTCCCTGAGTCGGTGGGTTGCGGCTGGGGATAAGTAGGATCGTCTCCGAGACGGTGGGTTGTGGCTGGAGATAAGGATTGTCTCCGAGACGATGGGTTGCGGCTGGGGATAAGTAGGATCGTCTCCAAGACGGTGGGTTGCGGCTGGGGATAAGTAGGATCATCGCCGGGCCAGTGGGTTGTGGTTGGGGATAAGTAGGATTGTCTCCGAGCCGATAGGTTGCGGCTGGGGATAAGTAGGGTAGTCTCCGAGCCTGTGGATTGCAGCTGGGGATAAGTAGGATCGCCTTCGAGCCGTTGGGTTGTGGTTGGGGATAAGTAGGCTCGTCTCCGAGCCAATGGATTTCAGCTTGGGATATGCAGGATTGTCTCCAAGCCAGTGGGTTGCGGCTGGGGATAATTAGGATCGTCTCCGAGTCGGTGGGTTGTGGCTGGAGATAAGTAGGATTATCCCAGAGTCTGTGAGTAGGATCGTCTTTGGGCCAGTGGGTTGCGGATAAGTAGGATTTTCTCAGAGCAGGTGCATTGCGACTGGTGATAAGTAGGATTGTCTCTGAGCCGGTGGGTTGCGGCTGGGGATAAGTAGGATCTCCAAGCCGAAGGTAGCGGTTGGGGGCCTAAGTTTAAGCAAAAAGATTACCGCAGAAAAGATAAGTTGGGTTTGTTGCCCTCAAAAGATCACCACTGGAGACAGGAGGGTGGAGAGGGGAGATGAAGATGGGGAAGTTGATTGAAGAGGGGCAGAAGGGTGGAGAAAGGGAAATGAGGGGGGCAGGGGGATGGGGAGGTGAGGAGGGGGAAGATGGGGTGAAGAGGAGGAAAGGGAGTGGAAATGGGGACAGTAGGGTGAAGAGGCGGAAACGGGGTGGAAATGGGGACAAGAAGGGGAGGGGAGATGAAGATGGGGAAGTTGAGTGAAGAGGGGCAGGAAGGTGAAGAAAGGGAAATGAGGGGACCAGGGGGATGATGGGATGAAGAGAAGGAAAGGGGTAGAAATTGGGACACGGGAGTGAAGAGGGGCAGGAGAGTGAAGAAAGGGAAATGAGGGCAACGAGGAGATGGGGAGGTGAGGAGGAAAGGGGGTGAAAGCGGGGACAGGAGAGTGAAGAGGGGGAGGGGAGATTAAGATGGGGAAGTTGAGTGAAGAGGGGCAAAAGGGTAAAGAAAGGGAAATGGGGGCAATGAGGGGACAGAGGGAGGTGAGGAGGGGGAAGATGGGGTGAAGAGAAGGAAAGGGGGTGGAAATTGGCACAGGGGAGTGAAGAGGGGCAGGAGGATGAAGAAAGGGAAATGGGGGCAAAGAGGGGATTGGGTGGTGAGGAGGGGGAAGATGCGGTAAAAAGGAAGAAAGGGGGTGGAAACGGGGACAGGAGGGTGAAGAGGAGGAGGAGGGTAAACGGGGACAGAGAGAAGAGGGTGAGGAAGAGGGTGTGAAGAATGGGACAGGAGGATGAGAGGGGGAGAGGAGGGTAATGAAGGGGGCAAGGGCAGTAGGGTGAAGAGGGGGCGTTCTCTGATATCCACCCACTGCTGATCACTGGCTGCTTACAGCTCCAATCTAGACACTAATTGGTCTCCCACTGCCTGGCCCCAAACACACTTCCTCTTCACGCTCTGACTCTCGAGACACAGCCCAGGACAAACAGCTAAAAAGTGTGACTGTCCTGGCAAATCCGAGACCGTCGGAAACTCTCCATCTGAGGACATACAGTCCATACACACCCAGCACAAGGCCGGGGTCACACTACCAGATGGTTCTCGGGGCTGCAGTTCCTCTGAGCTCCACAAGGTGGTGATCTCACTTCTACCCAGACAGGAAGTCTCTATGGAAGACAGGAAGTGATGTCAGGGACAGACAGGAAATGATGGAAGGTACAACTGTGACATTTCATGTGAGAGGAATTAGAAGAAACAGCGTACAGCAGAAAGGAGACATTGCTGGAAGTGGCAGTAGAGGAGGTAAGATCTCCCATCACTGTATATTATTAGGAACAAAATTTCTCCATCCCACTTTGCCCTTTAAATCCCCCTCTGTTCATTCTAAAGTTCACAACGACCAATCAATAGTTTATGCTGGGTGGAATGTTTTCTATTTACACCCAGTAACCCCCCCATCATGTCCGTCCTCTTCCTCCACCGTCACGTCCGTCCTCTTCCTCCACCGTCACGTCCGTCCCCTTCCTCCATCGTCACGTCCGTCCCCCCCTTCCTCCACCGGCAAGTCCGACCTCTTCCTCCACCGGCACGTCCGACCTCTTCCTCCACCGGCACGTCCGACCTCTTCCTCCACCGGCACGTCCGTCCTCTTCCTCCACCGGCACGTCCGTCCTCTTCCTCCATCGTCTGTCCTCTTCCTCCACCGTCACGTCCGTCCTCTTCCTCCATCGTCACTTCCTACCTCTTCCTCCATTGTCACGTCCATCCTCTTCCTCCACCGGCACGTCCGACCTCTTCCTCCACCGGCACGTCCGACCTCTTCCTCCACCGGCAAGTCCGACCTCTTCCTCCACCGGCAAGTCCGACCTCTTCCTCCACCGGCACGTCCGACCTCTTCCTCCACCGGCACGTCCGACCTCTTCCTCCACCGGCACGTCCGACCTCTTCCTCCACCGTCACGCCCGTCCTCTTCCTCCACCGTCACGCCCGTCCTCTTCCTCCACCGTCACGCCCGTCCTCTTCCTCCACCGTCACGCCCGTCCTCTTCCTCCACCGTCACGCCCGTCCTCTTCCTCCACCGTCACGCCCGTCCTCTTCTCCACCGTCACGCCCGTCCTCTTCCTCCACCGTCACGCCCGTCCTTTTCCTCCACCGTCACGCCCGTCCTCTTCCTCCACCCTCTTCCTCCACCGTCACGCCCGTCCTCTTCCTCCACCGTCACGCCCGTCCTTTTCCTCCACCGTCAAGCCCGTCCTTTTCCTCCACCGTCACGCCCGTCCTTTTCCTCCACCGTCACGCCCGTCCTCTTCATCCACCCTCTTCCTCCACCGTCACGCCCGTCCTCTTCCTCCACCGTCGCGCCCGCCCCTCTTCCTCCACCGTCGCGTCCGTCCTCTTCCTCCATTGTCATGCCCGTCCTCTTCCTCCATCGTCACAGTGACGTCTTTTATCTCCAGCAGATGATGATACACACATAGTGTGGGAACCCAGATTAACCCCTTCAGGGGCAGAACATTCTCCTCATTGTGGAGATGTGTGCAGGATAGAGGTTTTCTTTAGACATAAAGGCCAAAGAGTAAGCGGTTCCCGGACACTAAAACACAACAAACCATAAACAGAATGTAATCCCACTGGTGACCGTTCTTCCATGATAGAGACCCTCATATTATCCCCCCTCCCCCCCATCCTAATATTGTACAACCAGTAAAGTCCAGATCATTCTCTGTTATCAATTGTTGGTCTACAGAAAACCTGTATAGATCACATGACCAATGAGGATGGAGGAGGACCCGAGTCACATGACCGAGAGGATACTAAACCTCACCCTGGAGATCATCTACCTGCTGACCGGAGAGGTGAGGAGGATTCTGGGAGGTCACATGACATCACTAATCTCTTCTGGGAGTCTAACATGATGTTCCTATTGGTTCCCCAATACAGAAATTTCCTCCTCTGAAGTCAGGTGATCATATGACCATCACAGTGCCTCCATGTGACTCCCTAAACCCTGAGAGACACAACATGCAGAAGATTCTAGAAGTCACCAAGAAGATGATGGAGCTGCTGACAGGAGAGGTGAGCGGTGCCGGGAATTCTGGGACATTCTCCAGTAACAGACAAGGGATGTGTCTGGATGGTGACTGTATCATTGTGTGTGTCAGGTTCCTATAAGGTGTCAGGGTGTCACTGTCTATTTCTCCATGGAGGAGTGGGAGTATTTAGAAGGACACAAGGACCTCTACAAGGACGTCATGATGGACAATCAGCCGCCCCTCACATCACCAGGTAAGAGGAGACTTTATTGGAAAGGAGAGAGCAGTACGGAGGATCCACCTAGATCCCCCATCATCTGATAAACACATAGGAACAATGGATTCAGTCATTGTGTGTGTTTCCTACAGATGGATCCAGTCATGGGAACCCACCAGAGAGATGTCCCCGTCCTCTGTATTCCCGGGATTCCACACAGGAAGGTCACACCATCCCTTACCATCATCAGGTAGGTGAGGAACAATTATTGGTAGTTCTGATTTATACACAGAATGTTTGTTACAATGAATGTTTTTTTATATATTTCAGAGTGGAAACTTCATGGATAATAATGTTAAAGAAGAGTTTAAAGAGGAGGATGAGGAGTATGGAGTGATAAAGAGGTTTTCTGAGGGACACAATGCTATGATGTTTCCACCTAATACCAGGAACCCACCAGAGAGATGTCCCAGTCCTCTGTATTGCCGGGATTCTACACAGGAAGGTCACACCATCCCTCACCATTACAAGGTTGGAGGAATGGAGCATCTAGAACATGGACTTGTGGAGATAATGGCTGGATTTATCTTATATCTTACAGATGTTATTCTCTTGGTTTAGGTTGAAGATCTGATAGATATGAAACTTGATAGTAAATCAGAAGAAGAAGAGGCGTATGTGAGGGATGATCAGCAGTCTATGGAGGAGGATGGAATAACGGGGACATTTATAGAGGAGGACACTCCTACAGAGATCAGCACAGGTGGGTCATCAACACTAAATCCATTCCTCCGCCCATACTGCTCACTGATTGGTCCAGAGTAGGGCGGGGGCGGGGTAATATCAGCCTGTAATACCCTGGTCACCTTTCTGAGCTGTGTTCCCCGTCCTGTATTCCTGGATTTCTCTCGGGTAATCTTCCTTCTCTGTGCTGCAGACACAATTTATGTCTCTAGACTGCATTTATGGAGGTCCTGGGGCTCAGCTGGCAGTAACATGTGGAATTTAATTATAGACGTGTTTCTTCACTTGGGGCATGTGTCTTGGGTTTTCAGGATGGGGGAGGAGCCAATAGCCCAATGATGGTGGTCATCAGGATGGTGGAGGAGTCAATACCCCAATGATGGTGGTCATCAGGATGAGTCCAGTCTTCCTCTTGGTTGTCCTCCCCCCATCCTCACTCTCTGACCTCTGGTGGGGCTCCTGTTTAGTAATCCTCTTTGTCTTTGTATTTTAGTCCATGGCCAGGAGATGAGGAAAACCTCTGAGGATTGTCTCACTTTGTCTCCAGACTGGAAAGTAGAAGATGAGGACATCACACAGTATAGTCCAGGAGAAAACCCAGCTCCCTCCAATGTCCATCCGGCACCACCCAGTGTAGATGGACCATCGGATTCCTCGTATCCTGAGGAACCTCAGACTGTGCGGGAGCGGGCCGGCCTTCCAACAGGGAAGAGCTTCTCCTGTACTGAGTGCGGGAAATGTTTCTGTTTTAAATCTAAGCTTAATAAGCACAAAAAATCTCACATGGAGGAGAAGCGTCATTCCTGCCCTGAGTGCGGGAAAGTTTTTTCAAAGAAGTCCCATCTTTCCACACATCAGAGATCTCATGTGGAGAAGAAGCCGTATGCCTGTCCTGAGTGCGGGAAATCATTTCAGAGAAGTATAATTTTTACAGACATCAGAGATCGCATGTGGGTGAGAAGCCGTATTCCTGTCCTGAGTGTGGGAAATGTTTTGCACAAAAATCACATCTTGTCAAACATCAGAGGTCTCATACGGGAGAAAAGCCGTACTCCTGTCCTGAGTGTGGGAATTGTTTTTCAGATAAGTCACATCTTTGCAGACATCTGAAAATGCACACAGGTGAGCAGCCGTATTCCTGTTCTGAGTGCGGGAAATGTTTTGTAGAAAAATCACAACTTTTAGCACATCAAAGGTCTCACATAGCAGAAAAACCATATTTGTGTCCTGAGTGCGGGAAATGTTTTGCACAAAAATCAGAACTTGTCAAACATCAGAGGTCTCACACAGGGGAAAAGCCTTATTTCTGTCCTGAGTGCGGGAAATGTTTCTCACAAAAGTCCAATCTTCACAGACATCAGAGATCACACACTGGTGAGAAGCCGTATTCTTGTCCTGAGTGCGGGAAATGTTTTCCACGGAAGTCGCATCTTTATACGCATCAGAGATTACACACGGGGGAGAAAACTTATTCCTGTTCTGAGTGCGGGAAATGTTTTTTAAGGAAGTCCAATCTTTCTGATCATCAAAAATCTCACACAGGGGAGAGGCCATATTTATGTCCTGAGTGCGGGAAATGTTTTTCAAGGAAGTTTAATCTATACACACATCAAAGAACGCACACGGGGGAGAAGCTACTTTCCTGTTCTAAGTGCGGGAAAGGTTTTTCATCGAAGTCCAATCTTTGCAGACATCAGCGGTCTCACACGGGGGAGAAGCCACATTCCTGTCTTGAGTGCGGGAAAGGTTTTTCAGTTAAGTCACAGCTTTCCTTACATCAGAAAGTGCACATGGGTGAGAAACCATATTCCTGTCCTGAGTGCGGGAAATGTTTTTCAAAGAAGTCCAATCTTTACAAGCATCAGATCTCACACGAGAGAGAAGCCGTATTCCTGTCCTGAGTGTAGGAAATGTTTTTCAAGGAAGTCGTATCTTTTCACACATCAGAGATCTCACACGAGGGAGAAGCCACGTTCCTGTCCTGAGTGAGGGAATTGTTCCTCACTCAATTCCTGTCTTCTTGTACACTAGGGGTCCCACACAACCCTGGAGGTGTGTGAGTGTGGGAAATGTCTTCTAGATGAATATTACTGGACATCCCAGCTCTCATGTGGGGAAGAAGCACACCCTGATTTACACCTCAGATATACTCCATGGCTGATCTTCATCATGGAAGAAACAGTTCATAAGGAGGTCAGAGGTCACCAAAGACGTGGATGAAGTGTGGGACTGCGTTGGCCATTGATTGCAGGAGAAGAATAAAAATGGCGTCCTAACCTGTACTGATATAAAAGGGAGGAGGGCTCTGCCCAGTCAGACAGTCTGCATTAGAGAGAATGCACACAAGCCACAGCATGTAATCTCAAGCTGCTTACAGAGAAGGGGGAGCAGTTCCACCTCAGAGAAGCCTTCCTGCCATCATACCCACCATGCAAGGGACCCACAGTCTCCCCTGAAGAACACCATTTCTGGAGATCTGCCACTGTGAACCCTGTTTTTTTATGGACCCTTGCCTGTGCAGGTATGCTGGGGAAGTCACAAGCCTGACTTAGGAACTAGGTTAGGGAAAGACTGTTGCTGTTCTGTTGGCTATAATGCTGAAGTTGTGTAAATAAAGCTTTGAAACTTTTGCTGTGCCTGGTCTGAGGTCACTTCAAGGTGTGCATGGTGCTAAGTCAAGCGGGACTGGTGGAACGGGACACTGCTCTGTGGTGCCTCCTTTAAAATGCTGCATCCTGACCAGGAGGAACCTTCTTGACAGCTTCAGGTGATGATACAGAGACACAAGGAAAGTCATAGGCGCATGGAACCTGCAGACCAAAAATCCATGGAGAGTCTAAATGAATCCAGTTGTAGGAATCCAACGATGAGGATGGGGATGGGACAGTCTAGATACCAGGACAGGCTGTGGTAGAGTGAAGCAGACTCTGATATAGAAGAAATAACAGGAGAAACACAGAGGCTCTAAGTGTAGACTGTAGTACAAGTTTAATATTTGTTTTTTTATGGACGCTTGACTGTGCAGGTATGCTGGGGAAGCCATAAGCCTGACATAGGAACTAGGTTAGGGAAAGACTGTTGCTGTTCTGTTGGCTGTAATGCTGAAGTTGTGTAAATAAAGCTTTGAAACGTTTGCCGTGCCTGGTCTGAGGTCACTTCAAGGTGTGCATGGTGGTAATGGTGTATGGAAGAACAGCTCCTGTAGTGCACACACGGGGTGAACAAGGGGCAGCAAGTACTAAAGAAGTATGGTGTGACAGCCAAACGAGAGAACGGTATCGGCAGGGGTGACGGGTCTCGTGTATCGTGAGGAGAGCAGTTCATAGCCTACCTTCTGAGCGGTTGGTGTCCCAACACCTGGGACCAGACCTGTGGGGCAGTGACCTTAGGGACCTAGCTGTAGGGTATGGAAGAGAAAAGAGTGAAGAATGTGAGTGCATGGGGTCCAAGCTGGTGCATGGTCACTGGGAGAGAGGTGGTAGAGTCAAGCTGGACTGGTGGAACGGGACACTGTTCTGTGGTGCCTCCTTCAAAATGCTGCATCCTAACCAGGAGGAACCCGCAGACCAAAAATCCACGGAGAGTCTAAATGAATCCAATTTGTAGGAATCCAACGATGAGGAAGGGGATGGGACAGTCTAGATACCAGGACAGGCTGTGGTAGAGTGAAGCAGAATCTGATATACAGTAGAAGAACCAATGGGAGAAACACAAAGGCTCTAAATGTAGACTGTAGTACAAGTTTAATATTGTTTTTTTATGGACCCTTGCCTGTGCACGTATGCTGGGGCAGCCACAAGCCTGACTTAGGAACTAGGTTAGGGAAAGACTGTTGCTGTTCTGTTGGCTGTAATGCTGAAGTTGTGTAAATAAAGTTTTGAAACTTTTGACCTCCTGAGCGGTTGGTGTCCTAGCACCTGGGACCAGACATGCAGGGCAGAATCGGCAATCTCCTTTCTCTGGCAGCAACCTCAACCTCTTATTTCAATTCCCTTGCTTCCTTAACCACTTCCCGACTGGCCGTTGTATATAAACGGCTGGATGGTGGCACTGCAGGGTCAGGTGGCCGTTTATAAACGGCCTCCCCGCACCCTTCTTGTGCACGCTCCCTGGGAGCGCGCAGCACCGCAATCCGGTGCCCGCTGTGTCCTCCGGACACAGTGAAACACCGATCGTCAGACGGACCTCTGTACGAGGTCCTGATCATGTGATCACTGATTGGCCAACAGTGATCACATGCAAAGCAGTAAGCAAAATGTCACTTGTGACATCATTGCTTACTACATGTGAAATCTGTGAATGATCACAGAGGACACATTTTACAAGGCTATTCACAACAGCCTTGTACCATGTGACAAGCTGTGACCAATCACAGCTCACTCAGTAGTTCTCAATGGCTGCAAGAATGCAGACAGAGAGAAAGAGAAATGATTGCTTTTACATCCTATATGGGTGTAAAAGCAATCAGTGTAAAAAAAAAAAATCTTCATCACCCCTCAAAAGTAGTACAGTGTCACCATGTACTGCTAGGGTGACAGTATGTAAAAAAAAAAAAAACAAATAAATAAAATAAATAATAATTTAAAAAAATAAAAATGTAAAAAAATATGTTTAAAAATTTACAATATTTGGTTATAAACTAATTTGGCTTATTTATTTATTTTTTTACTAAAAAGATAACGGAATAACTTTTGGCCAAGATTTATCATGAAATATTATTTATTTGCAAAATTTTATAAGAAAAACACTTTTTTTTCAAAATGTTTGCACATTTTCATTTACATCGCAAAAAAAATAAAAATCCCAGTGGTGAATAAATACCACCAAAATAAAGTTTTTTCTGTCTCAACAAAATGGTAAAAAATTCATATGGGTACAGTGTTGCATGACCGCGCAATTGTCATTGAAAGTGTGATAGCGCTGAAAGCTGAAAATTGCCCTGGTCAGGAAGGGGGTGAAAGTGTCCGGACTGGAAGTGGTTAACTCAGTACCCACCTCATATGTGCCCTCTGGAATGCCTGCTCAGTCTCTAACAAACTTGCCTCTGTCAATGAACTTTTCCAGTCCAACTCCCTCAACCTACTCGCTGTTACCAAAACCTGGCTCTAGGAATCTGACTCTGCTTCTCCTTCACACCCTACTGCCTCCACCCACTATCTTGCTTACTGCCCAGGAGATTGCCAGTCATGTTAAAAACAAGATCAACACAATCCGTGATAAGATCTCAAGTTTCCAGCTTTCTCTTCCAAACGACATACTAAGTCCAACACTACACTCAATACTTTCCTCCTTCAACCCTGTAACAATGGAGGTTGACAAACTCCTTTCTGAGTTCCACCACCTGTCCCCTTGACCCCTTACAATTGTAACTACCTCCTCCCTGCTCTATCCTAAACTCTCTAACCCACATCTTCAATCGCTCCCTCTCCACCAGTACCCTACCCTCCCTGCACAAACATGCACTGGTTACCCTGATACTCAAAAAACCCTCACTGGACCCCACCTGTTTGAGCAACTTGAGACCCATCCCCCTGCTTCTGTGCACCTCCAGGATTCTTCAACGCCTTGACCACAACCATATGAGTCGCAACCTCACTGTCAACAACCACCTCGATCCCCTACAGTCTGCCTTCTCCCCCAATATTCCAATGAAACTGTCCTATGATAAAGGACTAATGACCCATGAACTTATAAAACCAATGGTCATTACTCCATACTCGTACTCTTAGACCTTTCTGCTGCCTTTGACAGAGTTGACTACCCGCTCCTCCTCGGTAAACTCCACTCCCTTGGCTCTGCTACTCTGCTTTTTCCTGGTTCTCCTAACTATCTCAGCTCAGCTCCTGTGTCACAACACTTTCTCCTCCGCTCCTCTTTCTGTTGAAGTATCCCAAGGCTCTGTCCTCGGGCCCCTCCTATTCTCTCCTTCCCTGGGCCAGTTGAGATGCTTCCATGGCTCCAATACCATCTCTATGCCAGCGACACCCAGATCTCTCTACTCCCCAGCTCACCCCCTTGGTCTCCTCACGTATCTCAAATTTTTATGAGCGACGTATCAGTATGGATGTCACCCCATTTCCTCCAACTCAATCTTTCTAAAATTGAACTTGTAATATTTCTTCCTGCCCAATCTCACCCCATCCCCCATGACTTTACCACTGAGATCAACAGCACAACCATTGGTCCCTCCACACATTCCAGGGTGTTAGGTGTAATCCTAGACTCTGGCCTCTCCTGGCTCCACATACTTACAAAACCCTCACTGGACCCCACCTGTTTGAGCAACTTAAGACCCATCCCCCTGCTCCTGTGCACCTCCAGGCTTCTTGAACACCTTGACCACAACCATATGAGTTGCAACCTCACTGTCAACAAACACCTCAATCCCCTACAGTCTGGCTTCTCCCCCAACATTCCATTGAAACTGTCCTATGAAAAATGACTAATGACCCACAAACTGATAAAACCAATGGTCATTACTACATACGCATACTCTTAGACCTTTCTACTGTCTTTGACAGAGTTGACTACCCGCTCCTCAGCAACTCAGCGATCAGCGACTGCTGCCCCTCTCTGCCAATCCCTTTATTGGCTTCCCCTAACCCAATGTATAAAATTCTAAATACTAATCACAAAATACAAAGCCATCCACAACATCAGCTCCTTAGCTACATCACCAACCTCATCCGCAGATATCGCTCAAATCATCCTCTCCGCTCCTCCCAAGACCTCCTGCTCTTTAGCTTCCTTGTTACCTCCTCCCATGCTCGTCTTCAAGACTTCTCTAGAACCTCCCCCATCATCTGGAACTCCCTGTTTTCTGCA